TGGTACAATTCGGATAAGCGGGGGAATTTTAGGCGGGGGGGAAACCAATTTTTTTCCTGTCGGCCCTGGTGGGAATAGTAATCAAATATAAAGTGTTTTCACATTGTTTTTAGCAAAATTTAAGCCTATTTGAATCGGAAAAACTTTTTTAAAAAGTGAGAAAAACGCTTGAAAAAGTCGAAAATTTGGTCATTTTTGGGCCGAAAAAATTATTTTTCAACATAAAATTAAATTCTCTAATTAAGTTTTATAAAGTTTTTATGTTTAGGAATAGCTATAAACAATTTAGAAACACTTCCACTATTTATATAAAAAATATAGGCTTGGGCGGAAAAAGTTTCGGTTTCCCCCCCGCCTAAAATTTTCCCCCCCGCTTATCCGAATTGTACCAATGGCGTAATTTAAGCTTTGATGTAAACTAGAGTTATAGTTATAGCGTTAAAATTCTAGATTTTACGATAGACTATCCACATTTTAGGGATGAAATACGGCTGCCTAATGACGTCGTCCCAGAACATTATAATATAACGATCCACCCGGATATTGAAGACCAAACGCTCACCGGCCAAGTCACGATCGATTTGAGGGTATTTTTGCACGGTTTCTGATTGATTTGTACCCAAATTCAGGTGACCAACCAGACATCAGTCATCGTGCTGCATGCGAGTCGCCTGAATTTGTCGTCATTCTACATTAATGTTAACAACAAGAAGGTTGACGCCGAACACGTAAGTTTTATGGCCTTCTGTAAGCTGCAAACAACGTTTGAGATGTTTTGCAGGCCGCAGTGAGTAGTGTTATGTAGCTGAATCTATTCCTTGCTAGGTAAATTTAGGAAAATCGGGAAGCTTCCGTGTTAAATTTTTTGAGAGCTTTAAAAACTTCAAAAAACCGCGTCAAATTCTCAAAAAACACCCAAAAACCTTGGCAAGCTAGCAGAGAAAATTTGGGATTTTTTACGATTCGTAAATGGTAGCAAAATGGAATTTAGCGCATTCAAAGCGTTTTTTTCAGACCTCCTGCAACCTGCTCCAGCAATGGGCATTCACCCTTGAGAATCCAATAGAGGAGGACGACGAGGTGAGTATCGTTAACGTTAGTAAAATAGAAAAATAAAAATATATTCTATACATTAACACATTCATAAGAACGTAAATAGGTTGTGCTTGGAATGGAGTACGACGGGAAAGTGTTGGCCGACATGCATGGGTTGTACATCAGCACCCACCACGATGTGAAAGGGAGGAGCTGGTAGGGTTGTTTAATTTAGCATCGTTTTGGCCTATTAATGCCCGGATCGATACTTTTTATAGCGTAGCTGGACATCACCGCGTTGTTTAGGAAATCAGTCGCGTCCCAATTCGAGCCAACCCACGCCCGGAAGGCTTTTCCCTGCTTCGACGAGCCAAATATGAAAGCTACTTTCCAGGTAGTTTTTAGGGCCATGAAAATTTGCTTGGATCTATTTAACTCTAATTTAATTCTATTTTCTATAAAGTAATATTTTTAGCTCTCCGTCGTGCGCGGCCCTCACTACGTCACGCGCAGCAACATGAACCTGCGCGTGAGCCGCGAGCGCGCCGAGGACGGGTGGAGATTCTCGAATGACAGGCACTTACCATGCACTTTTTTTGTCCACCCGACCCCCGCCTCACATTAATGCTTTATTATATCGCTAAAATACCCTAAAATTATATAAAACCATCTCTCCCGGTTTTTTATAGGGATATTGAGGGCTGCAAGCTGTTTTTAGCCGAAAATTTAGTTTAAAAAGTCGTCAAAAATAATTTTTCGATACTTTGAGATAACCTTGGAGCCTTCAGAACCCTTTAACAAGGTACATAAATTTTATTAAGTTTTTTACAGCCTCTACATCGATGTTTTCGAACGTAGCGTAAAAATGTCGACGTATCTTCTGGCGGTGGCCGTGCTCGACAATTACGATTATATGAAGAGGTTGACAAAGTCGACGCAGGAGCCGATTGAGGTGGGAAAAATCTCTCTCTCTCTCTCGCGCTCTCTCTCTCTCTCTCTCTCTCTTAGATCTCTCTCTACCAGATCTCTTTCAGGTCCGTCTCTACGCCCCTCGTGATGTCCTGAAGGGCCAAGCCGATTTCGGCCTAGATGTTGCCGTTCGAGCGCTAGAATATTTTGAAGATTACTTTAACATTTCTTACCCTCTCGAGAAAGTCGGCAAAGCCTCATTCATTGCTTCAATTTTTGATCTAAAAATTTCTACAAGGCATGAAAATAATTTTATGTATTTTAGACCTTCTTGCCCTTGACGACTTTGCTGAGGGCGCCATGGAAAACTGGGGATTGGTGACGTTCAGGTGGGTTTTGACTTTCCTAATGGATCTGGAGGATATATATGGAGTTTTGGCTTGCGAGTCCCTTTAAAATGCAGAAAATCAAGGCAGAAATTTTTCAGAAGTTTTTTTTTTGGTTTTAAATAATTTACAAATTGTTTTTGGTAATGCGAGCACCTTCGGAGATTTCCGTTTTTGCTTTCCTCAATGTTCCCGGCTAGATTGCCCCAGTTTTCATCAGGATCTTGATAGATTTTTGGGTTGTAGGCAGCTTTAAGATGCCAATTGTCATTAACTTTTTTAGAATAGCGTTTCAATTTCCTAAAGAATCTCTGCTAGTTTGCCACACCTTTTCAACGTTTTTATGGATTTTTAGGCTTGTGGACGCCTTTAATAACCTATATTTTTTCGATATATACATTTTTTAGGACAGCGTATTCAGTATTTTTATGCATTTTTGGCTTGTTGACAGCTTTAAAATCCTATATCTCAATATGTGGATTTTTTTGGCTTCAAGCGGCCTTTAACCCCGACAAATTTTAGAGACTCCGCCCTGCTCTACAACGAGGAGACGTGCAGCACACTCAACAAGGAGCACATAGCCTTGGTCATTTGCCACGAGATCGCGCATCAGGTACGGTAGTTGGGGCACGGTGTAGGGTGGAATTCAGTGGTTCGGGAACCTGGTGACGATGGATTGGTGGAATGATTTGTGGCTGAACGAGGGATTCGCGAATTACATGGAGTATCGATGTGTCGATCACTTGTTCCCGTCGTGGAATATTGTGGGTTTTATTAAAGCTGATGATAATTACATATATTATAAGTTAATTAAATTACTTTGAATTAAAATTAAGTTAAAAAGGTAACTTGGTAAAAGTAGTGAGTTAAGCTTTTAAATATCTTCTTAATTTTTCTTTTTATCTAATAAAATTTGTAAATGAATTTTCAATACCTTTCACCTCAATTTAATTGAATAAATTTAGTAAAATAATTTTAATAACCATAAGCGCTTTTTAATACTTTTTACGGGGAAAATCCATTTTTTTGGTCGCCTTTCCGGCTCGTTCTTCAGGCTTTAAAGCGCACGTTCAGGGAGGGGCCGTGTACTCGTCCCAACGTGTACACCCTATGGACGTAGGGATCGCGCGCACTGCCCGCCCGTGCGTGACAGGCCACCCCTCCTTGTGGTGGGCGCCCCTCATCCCCTCGCCAGGTTGTAGCTGTGGCTGACTGGTGTCCATCCGCGCCTCACGAGCGGGGGCCCCGGGTTCGACCCCCGGCCGCGGCAAAAATTTTTGTTTTTTTTTCCAAAAACTGCCTGAACGTGCCCTTTAACCCTGACTTCATGCTCCCTTGAAAATTGCTCTACAATTCCAGATGACCCGTTTCTACGCCGAAAACTCGGGCTCGGCCATGGACCCGGACGGCTTGACGTCGTCTCGCCCCATTAACGCTGGACTCCAAAATACAACCAATATAATGTCACTTTTTGACGCGATTTCTTACCACAAGGTACGTGCATGACTTAACGCTCCTGGAAACAGACAGGAGTATCAGATCGGAACGGTTTTGGCAGCATTCGAAAGCTCTTAAAAGGAGTCGAGGGTTGATGCCAACGAATGTTACATTTTGGGTTAAAAATGTTTCCCGTTACAAAAATCGCGAAAATTAGCATCACCCCAAAAATCCATTCTGAACCTCCTTCATACAGATAACTTGTTCTCCTTTTCAAGAGCTTTCGAATCCTATCCAAAAATCATTCCGATACGATACGCCTGACGACTTCTAGAAGTCCAGAGGTTTTTTTGCACATTTAGGCAGCCGCCATCATCCATATGCTTCAAGGCCTTGCCGGGGAATGGTATTTCCAGAAGGTAAGTAGAGTCCTCAAGTGTCTCTGCTAGGTACCAAATTTCAGGCCCTGATCGAGTACCTCAACAAGTACAAATACGACAACGCCAAGGGGGAAGAGTTGTGGAGGGTGGTTGAGAAGGTACCAGGAGGTTACGGTAAAGATTGGGTGTTCTTTAGCACGCATCACTTCCTCATGGGGTTACCATTGAGAATCTGGCCGAGGCTTTTACTACCCAGGTGAGTAGATTTCGATTCTCTCTCTCACTCACTCGCTCTCTCTCTCCCTCTCTCTTCTAGGCTTCACTGCCCCTTTAAAACCGACTTCAGGTCGGCTACCCATTGGTGCAAATCGGCTTGATCAACAACGACGAGGAAATCCTTGTTCATAACCAGGTCAGGCACTTAATTACCGTGCCCCCATTGCAATAACCTGTCCCACCCACCGTACCTCATGCTCCTTCCAGACCCGCTTCCTTTTCAACAATGACGATGAGGACGAGGATGATCTCGAGTGGCCAATCCCAGTCCATATTAGAACTGATGAGAAGGATGAGGCGCAGCTCAAGTGGTTGAGGCCTGGGGAGCAGAAAGGTAGGGGCAGGCTAGCAGGGGTTATTGGCGTAGGGAGATGGGGAGCAGGAGCTGGGGAGGTAGAGCTGAATCTTACTAATAACTCGTGCTCCATTCCAGTGCACTGGCGTCTCGATTCCCCTGCAAAATGGGTGATCGCGAATACGGGAGGTGTCGGGTATTTCAAGGTGCTCTACGATAGGAAGATTTACAAGGAGCTTGGCAAGCAGTTGGAGGGTGATCATACGGTAGGATTTAATGCTTTTTTTGTTTTTAAAGAAACTGGGAAGCCACAAAACGGCCCAAAACCGCCTAAAGCTTCATAAAAACAAGTAGAAATTTTTCCATTTTGCAATAGTTTTTGGCTGCTGGGTTCCTTTACCCAAAAATTATTTTTTTAGGCAATTACTCATAGTAATCCGTCTTCCTGTATCTTTTAACGATGGGCACGTTTTAGGAAATCTCAGCCATCGACCGTACGATGCTGATCACTGATGCCTTCGACTTCACCAAGGTCGGACTGCTCGACGTCTCGACGTATATGGACTTGATACAGTATGCCAAGGGTACGGGTTTGGGAGCTCTTTCGAGTTCTCTCTGCTAACCAGCCCCTACTCAAGAATTTCAGATGAGCGAGACCGTATGGCATGGTCAGTCATCAACCAGCAGTTGAAGCAGTTGGAGGACCTGCTGAGTGAGACCGACTATTTGCATCTATTCCGGGTAAGAAAAAGCCTCTTTCTCTTCCCATACGTACATGACCTAATTTGCATATTCAGGACTTCCAACGTTCCCTGATCGTCAAAATCTACGATGAGGTCGATTGGGACGATGATGAGGATGATGATAGTGATTCGGATGAGAAGGTGGGAGAGCGAGAAGAGAGAGAGAGAGAGAGAGAGAGAGAGAGAGAGAGTTAAATCAATATTCCATTTAGGACCCCTCACGCACCGGATTCCGCCAAACAATCCTTACACTAGCTTGCCGCCTTGGACATGGAGACTGTGCGAAGCAGGCGGTGATCCGCTTCAACCAGTGGTCCGTGCTAGGCAAAAAGTGAGTTTTGAGAGAGAGAGAGAGAGAGAGAACGAGAAAGAAATACCCAAATCTTATCCTCCTTTTCAGAGCAGCCCCCGAACTCCAGAACGTCATCTACGAAGAAGGAGTGAAAGCTGGAGATACGGGCACCTGGGAAAAGGTAAGCTACGGTACTTTCCGATCCGTTTTAAAGGAACCTGCAAGTGAGCCCTATTTTTAGACCTACGCCGCATACCAAAAAGCGACAGCCCCCAACGAGAAGCAAAGCCTCATGGAAGGGCTGGCCGCCACGAAGGACCCGAAACTCGTGCATCGACTTTTGAGGATGACCCTCGATCCGAGCGCTATTAAGGTACGGTAATTAGGGTAGATACCGTAGTTGCGGTAGGGAATATAGTAAGCTATAGGACCAAGATTTCTCCAATTTCAGGCAAACAACGTGCACCGTGCCTTCTCAGCCCTCGCCGAAAACGAGCTGTCCCGAACGGCCGCCTGGCGCTTCTTCAAGATCAACTACGACGAGTTTGAGAAGCGGTATGGGTGTACGGTAGCCGGGTCACCCTTTAGCTTTAGGTTGGGCGCGGGCAGCAATTTACTATTCGCCTGCATCCGCGGCCTGGTCGAGAAGACGAACACGCGCCACGATCTCGACGAGTTGAAGGAGTTTTTGGCGGCGAAAAAGGTATTTTGATGATCCTTTTCTTACTGTAGGTACTTTTATCTAGAGACCGCCCAAAACTGCTTCGGGCCTTGGGCGCTGGAATGCGGCCTTGCAGGAAATTTGACTTTCCGATAGCTCGGGTCCGACGACCCCCTGGCCCCCGACCAAACTCGCGAGTGCAACTGGCAAGAATGAGGAAATTTCTATTTTTTCACATTATGCAAATTAGCCCTCAGGTACCCCCAAAAATGAATAAAACCGGCTTTAACTTTGTAAACTTCTTTTTTATCGAAATTCTGAGAACGCCATCGGAAAGAGGAAGGTCGATTCCCCCAGTGGCGGAGAATCGGGCTTTTGGACACGGGAAGGCCCTCAAATCTGGCCTCGAAACTGACCTCCGCACACACACACACACAAAGATACGCGACCAAATTATATAAGGTAGGATACCGTAATACATGCAGTACTGTAAGCAAAAGAGTTTATTTTCAGCTGGACAATAATAAGATGAAAATGCGGCAACTGTACGAGAACATCGAAGTGAACATCCAGTGGCGCGAGTTGAACGAGGACAAATTTGAGGTGAGGTTTTTTGATTACTTTAAAGAAATCGTGCGGGGATTACGGTAGATTTTGAAGCTTAAGGAAGTCTTCAAAAGTTATAGTTCAAGTTTGTTTTTTATAGATAGCGTTATTTTTAACTATTTTAAATTTTCTAAATGTTGGTTCTTTTGCATTATCGGGTGGGGCTAATTTTTTGTATAGATTTTATAAGCCTAGTAGCAGCATAGTGAGTATTTTAGTAGTTTTTTTAGTGAAATTTGATGCTATTTCCATTGTAAAATATCTAAAAAAGGTTGGAAAATGTTGAAATCATTTCGAAAATCGGAATTTTTGTATTTTTATAAAATTTGAAGTTTTTAAGCTTAGGAAAGTATCAAACAGCTTAGAAAAACGTCGGCTATTTTTATTAGAAAGAATTGGAACCAAAGGAAAAATTTGCCAACCCAACCCCCCTGATAAGGCGAAAGTACCTTGATTTTGATTTTTGTGATTTTTGGACCTGAAAAAAATCTTTTTTTTGCAGGAATACCTACACGAGTGGGACGAGCGACGCCGGCGAATTCATAGGCGGAGTAAAAATCAATAATTTCTTACTTTTTAACCGTCTTTGTCTTTTTTTTGCCTACAAAGACCATTCCCTCTAGTCCGAACAATGATCTTCCGATGAATATTCCCCAATTCCCAAAGAATCCATCTCTCCCCGCCAAGTTCCACCATCACCTGTGCTGGCTGCCATGTCGGCGCGTTTTTAGGGTATTTTAAATTGCTGAATATCTGCCTTATTTCAGTTTTTCTAGAGTTATTTTTGATCTGAGGCCTTGAGAATAAATGTTGTTATTTTTTGCAGTGCGCTACAGTAGTATATTCTCGCTACAGTACTTAGTACGCTAGGTACTCCAGTACATAACGGTCCGCTGCAGTATTCGATAGCGTAAGTTAATCAGTACATTACAGAACGCTACAGTGCTCGATACGCTATCGTACTCAGCACATTACAGTACGATACAGTGCTCTATACACCAAGGACCCTATCGTAGACGATATATTACAGTACGCTACGGTACTCAGTAGATTACAGTACTATTTTTGGCAATTTTTCTAGCACGCTAAATTACTAGCTACATTACAGTACTCTTTACGCGATAGTATGTGAGATACTTTAACGTATTCCTTGCACTTTGACCAAACACGGTACGATACAAAATTTCCGAAACCATGCAGTATGTGCTGCCCTACAGAACTCGTAACAATTACAAAAATCTTTAAATTCAATTAAAAACCCTTAATTTTGCTCATTCGCTCCCAGGCTGCGTTAAGTTCCGCTGGACGGTGGGGGACATATCTGTGCGCCCACCCAGATCCAATGCCCCGATTCTCGGCGGAGATCTGGAGCCCTGATTTTCACGCGCCCTCCTGCCCCAGGCCTCTGAAGCCTCCGCGCGGCTTCTTGGGTATCGATTTTTTTGGCATTGACTTCTCCTATTTTTTCTGGTTTACTGCTTAGGTCTAGACTTCTATGAAACTTTCACCTTAAGTTTGCCATAGTTTCGCTGCCATTGATAAATTGGAACAATTTTGAAACTATGCAAATTTTTTAACGATTTTTCCGGAGGTTGGGTTAATTTTTATCGTTTTCTTGCTGGCACCATCCCTTTAAAATGGTTGTAAAATTTTTGTTTGTTTCAGAATGTCAGAAGACAAAGAACTGCGTCGGCCGGTCGCCTCGAAAAAGGACATGTTGCTGTGGTGGGCCGTCAATGTGTCGGCTGGCTTCTTTCTATCTGGTAGCCAATTTGAACGGATTTAATTACACCTAGATATCCGTTCTGTTAATTGAAAATAATTACCACAATATTGATATTCAGGCGCGCACAATGTTCTGTTCTTCGCCTCCGATATCCACACCCCAGTCATCCATTTTATGCACCACGCATCGACCGCCGTTTTTTTGTTCCTGTTCTCGTTGGCGGGCATTATTCCTAAGGTAAGTGTGCTTTTTCCAAAAATCGTTGCTAGCCTGCCTTGGTGTATACGGTGTCTACTTCCCAAAAGAGAATTTGATCCATTGCCCCGTCCTTTCCACCCAAATTTTGGCCTTCTATGTATCTCCGCTCCCGCTTGACCTACAGGGATGTAAAGTATACCAAAATGTTCGTCTTGGTTTGCCGAGTATTTTGGTGTACTTTGTAGTCTTGTAAAACTACAGGAAGCCGAAATACTAAAGTAATTTGGAGGGAGGCGTTTATATGCGGCTTTGCCCAATTCCCTCGGGCATCGAGTTCATGCTGAATTTGTGAGAAAATTGATGTTGTCAATAGTCTCTGCTTGGTACCGCGACACTTGCGGCGCGGACACTTGCGGCGCGGACACTTGCGGCGCGGACACTTGCGGCGCGGACACTTGCGGCGCGGACACTTGCGGCGCGGACACACTGCGGCGCGGACACTTGCGGCGCGGACACTTGCGGCGCGGACACTTGCGGCGCGGACACTTGCGGCGCGGACACTTGCGGCGCGGACACTTGCGGCGCGGACACTTGCGGCGCGGGACACCTGCGGCGCGGACACTGCGCGCGCGGACACTTGCGGCGCGGACACCTGCGGCGCGGACACACTTGCAGGCGCGGACACTTGCGGCGCGGACACTTGCGGCGCGGACACTTGCGGCGCGGACACTTGCGGCGCGACACTTGCGGCGCGACACTTGCGGCGGCTGCGACACTTGCGGCGCGACACTTGCGGCTGCGACACTTGCGGCGCGACACTTGCGGCGCGACACTTGCGGCGCGACACTTGCGGCGCGACACTTGCGGCTGCGACACCTGCGGCGCGACACTTGCGGCTGCGACACTTGCGGCGCGACACTTGCAGCGCGACACTGCGGCGCGACACTTGCGGCGCGACACTTGCGGCTGCGACACTTGCGGCGCGACACTTGCGGCGCGACACTTGCGGCGCGACACCTTGCGGCGCGACACTTGCGGCTGCGACACTTGTGGCGCGACACCCGCGGCGCGACACTTGCGGCGCGACACTTGCGGCGCGACACTTGCGGCTGCGACACTTGCGGCGCGACACTTGCGGCTGCGACACTTGCGGCGCGACACTTGCGGCGCGACACTTGCGGCGCGACACTTGCGGCGCGACACTTGCGGCGCGACACTTGCGGCGCGACCTTGCGGTTATTTAGTATAAGCTATATAAAAATAGTTTAAGGTGTTATTTGATAAGCTGCATCCGAATTTGGTATTAAAAAATCATAAAAAGTCGGGTTTGCGACCGAAGTCACTCAATTTGGAGGGAAAGTGGCCGCTACTTCCTCCGCTCTGCGACTAAAAAAAGGCTTCGTGCCACCCGGGGCCTAGTCGCTTCGGATGGGTGCGAGCTCGTACAGGGTTTCTAAATCGGGGCGCCCGAGGAGCGCGAAGCGCCCAGGCGCTCCGATTTAGAAAGAGTGGAGCGGCAGCCCATCCGAAGCGACGGCCCACCTTGCCTGATGCCCTCAGGGGCGTTCCGACTGCGGGTCGGTTAAATTGCTTATTTTGAACACAAATCCAACAATTACAAACAAATTCCGTGAAGAAATGCTCAATTTACAACATTTAAAAATAATAAATGCTGCGCCGCAAGTGTCGCGCCGTAAATGTCGCGCCGCAAATGTCGCGCCGCAAATTTCGCGCCGCAAGTGTCGCGCCGCAAGTGTCCGCGCCGCAAGTGTCGGGGAGCCCTCTGCTTGCCTGCCCTCGAATCTCCGGCGAATTTTTCCGAAATAATCGCTGCTAGCCTTTCCTTCGCTACTTGATCGTATTCTCAAATGGTTTCCGATAGCCTGCCTAAATTCCTAGAAAGGCTAGATTTTGTGATTGGTTCCTAAATGATCTCTGCCTGCTTGCCCTTGTAAAGTTGGCTTCATCCAATCGTTTTCAGCAACCTCCCCCTGCCAATCAAAGAATTCGCGATTCCGGTGGCCGCAAAAGTACTCGAAACGTTCCTCTCCTCCATCGTCCATTCCCAAAATCGGACCGGCGGATTGTACGTCTTACGGTTAGATGAGCAACCTTTAGAAAACAACCTAAAATTCAGAATTTTTGACGTCATCACAACGGTGGCCATCGTCTACTGGGGGAAGCAGTTCGGGTTGAGCGACAAGGAGAAGCCGGCCAATAAGCATTTGGTCGGTATTTTGGGGGGCGTAATTATCAGGTTGGTAGATAAGTCCTGTCACAATTTTTTGAAAGTGCCTTAGAAAGCCGCAGAAACGTCGTATTTTCACTTTCGATACATGATTTGATAGATCTTGGGACGCGCTACTTAGTCAAAACCCGATTTGGTCCCCAAAGTGGCTCGCCGTCGAGTTACAGCTCCGGGAAGTTTTTCATAAAATCCTGAGAAAGCTAATTAGCGTGCTATCTCTGCATAGATCTATTTGAATACGATACCATTAACGCCAATCGATAGCTCACGAGGAGTAGATATCGATAGATGTTGAGATCATCAAAATTGGACACCGGATGGCCTAGATACGAGCCCTTCAAATTTGGTCCATTTCTTAGAACTTTTTCCGAATTCCCATACATTTAGACAAAACCTTCTTCGCGCGCTCAAAAACCACCTGGCAAGATTTGTCACAGATGCGTAAAATGTATGGGATCCCGGGAAAAGTTCTAAGAAATCAACCAAATTTCAGAGACCCATATCTCGGCCATCCAGTGTCCAATTTTGATAAACTCAACATCTATCGATATCTACTCCTCGAGGGCTATCAATTGGTGTTAAAGGTATCGCATGCAAATAGCTCTATGCAGAGATAGCACGCTAAATAGCTTTTTCAAGATTTTATGAAAAACTTCCCGGTGCTGTAACTCGGCGTCCTGTAACTTTTCGACCTTGTGCGGCAGCTCCCATCATAGAGCAACCCAAGACCTATCAAATCAGGTATCAAACGTTAAAATCGGCCGTTTCGTCGGCTGTATAGAGAGATTTTAAAAATTTGTGACAGGACTTATCTACCAACCTGATAGTTACGCAACGTAAAAGCCGTCTTGCATGTTGCTTGTCGCGTTCGTGGCAAAATTCATAGCCCAAAGTCCGGAGCCATGCCTTCTCAATCCCTTTAAAACCCCGATGTTCCAGCTCCTCCTCGGTCTGGCTGCCTCCCTCTCTTGGCTAGAATTCGGCCAAATGGAATACACCTTCTTTAGTTTCATTTGCTCCCCATTGTTGGCCCTGGCTAGAGCATATTCGATTTTGAGCGTCTGGAGGTAGACTTTGAGCTTGAACTCGCATTAATGAGCTTCAGATTGGCCCAAAAACTCCGCCCACCATCGCTTGATCTCCTCACGATGTACTATTGTGGATTGACGGCCTTGGCTCTGGCTCTCCCGGCTCTGATCTCATTCTCAAGTCGAACCGTTGAAGTGACGGCTTCCTGGGAGAGCATTGATACGGTATGTTTTGAGCGTATCCTCTCGTAGCGTTTTCAGTACTGGGTTTTGAGCTGGGAAACTTCCTTGAGGAATTTCGTGCGTAGAAAATCGGCATGGGAGAGCTAGCAGAGACCTTTGGGGAAACTGCAAACTCATTGAATGGGTTTATCGAACGTATAGGTAGGCTAGCAGAGATCCTTGAGGAACGGAGAAAAACAGATATTTTCTGTAACAATTTAAGTACCAGGGCAAGCGAGCCGAAACCTTTGAGGAATTTCCAGGCTAGCTAGACGAAAATCGTCAATTTAGTGGATGCGAAGAATACGCAAGCCAGCAGAGGCCATTTAGGAAACAGAAAAAACCTAATACGAATTTTAGGTGTTGATGTACCTCTCTCCCATTTTCATGGCCTCGGCCCTCTACTCGGAACTCTGGCTTTGCCTCGTCGCCGGCCCCAAGACCTTCCAGGTACCTTTAAAATCCCCTGGATTCCATCTGGAGCCAAATTCCAGGTAGCAGAACATGGAAAGTACTTCCTGGCCTCCCTCGGGCAGTGGATCATCCAAAATATGGCCCATCCTTCAATCCTCGCCCTGATCGGAAAGATATTGTTTGTCGGATCGGCCGTACGGGCCGTGGCTCATGGCTTTTCCGAGTGATATCTATACGGGCATTGGGATAAATTGTCGTACCTTAAAGTATAGCGTAATTTGGAGCTTTGTGGAATGGATGCGGTATAAAAGGACCTCCGCAAATACCCCATAATTTTGGGGAATTTGCCTTGAAAGTACCGTTAAAGAGCGAAATGTCGAAAGTTGCGCGCGCGACACGAAAGGGCCGCGAAACGTCACGCGAACGCCACGTTATCGTGTCATAATCGACTGTGCGGTATGCACGTTCCTTGTTACGGCTATAGAAAAATCCATCAGGAAGTCTAACCTTGCCAATCCCTTTAAACGCAAACATCGCCTCCGATCACCCAAGTAACGTGCGATCCCCCATCGGCCGCACATAGATCATCGGCCTGTTGACTGCCTCTCGATGTCTATAGGAAGGTGATGTTGGTGTGGATTCACAGTGGCAGCAGCTGTCCGCCCAGCCGAGGAACAAAAAAAAGTGGAAACCCCCCGGGCGTTGGGTACTCAAAAAACAGAGCCACGGAGCGGCCCGAGTTTTCAAAACAGCCGATTGGGTTTCGGGGCCCCCGGGACACGGAGGAATTTACTGCCCAAACACTCGGTTGTATACCGGTTGAGTCATGTGGGTTTTGAAGGGAGGAGGAAGTGAGGAAATATACGAGACGGCTGTCTGGAATTTGCCGCACTAACGAGAGATAGATAATACGACAAAGGTAGAGAAATATATACGAGAGCGAAAACTTAACGTCCGTTGTTGTTGTTCGAAAACT